GGGTGGGTGGTGTGGGTTTCACCTGCACTTTTGAGTGTAGGAGTTGGGCATAGGGGTGCGTAGTTAGGAACACGTAGCCTTTAGATGCCATGGATTTCAACGAAAGCAGTGCGTTGGAGCTGGGAGCAAGCGAACTGGGAACTGTTCTCAGCGTTCCAGATTCAAGCGAAGTTTTTCTTGTGGAAGAAAGCCAAGCTGGAGATGAGGTAGCTCTTGAAACGAGCTTTGGACTGGAGTCTTCTGCATCGGTGCCTTTCCACGAGCTGGAAGAACAGGAATTGTTTGGAAGCGAAGCGGTTGAGAGAGATATTGACCTTGGGCCTTCAGTTGTTTCCGATTTTTCTGCTTTACTGCCGGAAGTGTCGCAACCTGAAGCATCTTTGGACGCCTCATACAATCCTGAGGACATTGTGCAGTCAGCGTGGAAGAGCTTGAAAACACAAGAGCTGAAGCTGCCCTGGGAGGAAGGATTTTGGAGCAAGTTCTTGGATCCGAATGTCACTGCTATGGATATGCTTTCTGAAAATCTCAAAAGGCCTTTTCCTATTGCAGGGGATGCAGATGTGGAGAACGGCGTGCAGGAGGTTGACAGAAGAGTGGTCTCGAAAACATGCATCGAGATCACGGGATACATGAAACACATCCGGGATATACCGGAGAGAACATGGAAAGAGGAGCGTGAGGCAACCTGGGAAATTGCAATTCGCAGATGGGTCGCTTTGTTGGATCAATGGGAAGATTCAGATTCCTTGCTGTTGCAAACATTAAAGGTCAAGGGCTCATTCTCAGAGAAGGCTCAAATCCTGGTTGATGTCTTCTTCAACAAAGCGCCGCAGACGCTCATGAAACGAGTGAACAGTCTTTCAAAAATAGTGAACACCTTAGCAGCGAGTGGAATTTCTTTTCCGTGCAGTGAATCAGACTTCTATGCATTCTTGAAGTGTGAAGCTCAGAAAGATGCACCAGCAACTCGTCTCAAAGCCTGTTTCGAAGCTGTGACTTTTGCCAAGCATGTTTTGAACATTGAATCCTTGCATAACATAACGGTGAGCAGGAGATGTCTTGGTGCCGCTTCGTCCAAAGGAATCGTTAATCCTAAGCAGGCTGATCCATTCACTGTCGAGCAGCTAGGTGTGTTTCATGAAGTTTTGAGGGCAGGAGGGGACATCTGGGACAAGGCAATGGCAGGCATGCTCTTGTTTTGCACGTATGCTCGATCACGATGGTCGGACGCTCAGCACGGTGAGTCTTTGCTTGAGGACCGAGATTTCGAAGGGACGCTTTGTCATGTTGAAATCAGTTCATCGGTTCACAAAACAGCAAGGGCCTTGCATTTGCGTCACATGTTCCTGCCTTTAGCAGCTCCTGCAACAGGTGTGTCCCAGGATAACTGGGGCGAACAGTGGCTTGAGGTCAGGAAGGTGTTGGGCATAGAGGATATTTCAACCTACCCCCTAATGCCGGCACCGAGCAAGCATTTGACCCCCACAAAGAGGCCACTTTCGACGTCGGAGGCTAAGC